TCAAAATTATTGAAAATATATCCTCCGACCAATGCAAAGCTATTTCATTAACAAATCAAAAATCTTAAGAATTTTTAAGTCGAACAGCTAAGCAGCTTAATTTTTGTTTGTCACTCTAGCCRTTTTAATGAAATTTTCAGACAGCGCGTTTACATGATAAGTAAATTACGTGWTGTTGGTCGCAATATAATGCTAACGCTAACSTTAAAATAATGTGATAAATTAAATTTTTCCATTTGATTTGTATGATAATATCAAAATATGAAAAAAATTAACAATTTAATAGCTTAAATATTCACAATAAATAATCTACATACCATACCATAATAAAGTGTTTATTAAGACACATTTATATCGAACTAGATTTTTAATACGGTACACATTTTTTAAAAAATACGAGTAGCATACAATTTTAAATTATAAGTTCTGAAGAGTTACTGTATTGCACACCAGTACACCACCATGGTGGACTTAGCTTGGTAAGTTTTGATTATACAAATTAATTTGAATACTATTTTATAATTTTTATTCAATTACAACTTATAAAAGTGACACGAAAAATATAAATATATTTTAATTAAGATATTTTGACCATTAGATGTGTTTTTCCTCGGATAATTTTATCAAGTATGCCGTTGTTACGGAGTATATTGAATTTTACTTCAAGGGAGGCTAATCAAAAAAAATGATATACATTTTAAATGCTACGTAGATGTGTAACAAGTAAGCGCTGACAAAAAATTTAGACCTTATTAGTTATTATATTATTAAGCGCAGTTGGAAATATTTTGTATCGGCTATAAATTGGAAAATCTATACCCACATGTTTGAAATTTAATATTTTGAAGCATATATAGAATTAAAATGATCGTATTTTATATAATTTTGTAACAAAATTGATAACGAACAAAGATATTTTTGAATTTAAGGTTTCGTGTTAACTATAACAGTGTGTCTGTGTCAGAGTGTTATCTGGAGTTCTTATGGTCAAAATACATCTCGGTCGCGTTTTATGTGAATCGTCATTTCAACCAATCGATATCTATACCTTGTTGTTGTTATTAATCAAATACCTAACAAGAGACATTAATTAATTATCACTACCTAAGCTTGATAAAAAAAGGCTAAGAATTTTTGTTCGAAAAATCGTTGTGTGTTACTGTTACACCTATTTTCACTTCAAACGACCTTGAAATTTTCYGTGTGTATTCGTATTTCGTGACATCCGAAYTTCRCTAAAATAATATATTAAACATATTGGCATATTGCTAAGCACCTAACTAATCGACGTCGAACGCGTAACATTGTAACCTCGTATTAGTTATTAATAGTTTTTCCTCTACAGTCTCTACATACCTTTACTGCTTTCCATCACATCTGTTTCAATTGTTCGAGTGGTTAAACGGTGTTAATTACTATAATATATAAATATATATTATACCTATATAGTTTAGAACTCTTAAATGGCTWAATAACACGGCTACGGAACACAAATTCTCTCACTTAACTTACGTACTTTTAGAAGATTGAATCTCCGACATAATAACACCTTCYCTAGAAAGATTTGGATATCCATATCACCAATATTCTGACTAGATTAAGCCTTGAAGTCATCATGTCAAGAATATTAAAATGTYTTTTTCTCACTTTTTTAAATGCGCTTACTTCAACGGATACAGGACCAATAGCATTAAATTTGACATTTTCAAAAACATAATCTAATCAAAGCCAAAAAGCCATTTAAAACCATACACGGTCTGCCACCGTATCACAATCGTCAAGCTTACAGACACACCCACAATCTTCTGTTRTTTTATTGATCATAGTGCTTTAAAGTATGCATTAAAAGTATCCATCGAATGAGTTAAGATACAWAAGTAGTTCAGTTAAATTCGCGCTCTGTCTCACGGCTTAATTTATAGAGTGTGCCGTTTGTAAGTCTTCTCTAAAAAAAAACTCATTATAAATTTCATCAAAGTTAATATTTATGAGTCACACTCACTATCGAAGCGCCTTCACTTTCTACCATTTCAATTGAATTAACTAATTCAAAGTTTAGTGATTAAAATTTCTCTCCGAAAACTGTATTTAAGAACGCCACAGCAGGTCACCTCTCCTGCGTTATGTTACCGTTGGACCTGWCCCAACTATGATCAWYRTTCTTTGAACATTCCAAAAACATTGTCAGTACCGTCACAATTCTCACTTATATTTTAAGTAATAGAAATTATCATTAAACGATAAAGTAATTTCATATGATACATACTACATTTTTTAAATGTATTTCTAATCAATAATCTTTATTGAAAACGTATTTAACTACCTGCTATTATTATCGTTTTAATTTCCTTGTGCCTTGCCATTATTATCGTTATGTTTTATTAGTAGTATCTACCTAATAATTCAATTTAATTGTTGTATTATACTGCAATATATATTTTTTTAAACGAATGCTCTTATGAGTTATAAATTTATAATGCATAAAAAAACATAGGTATAGTTTGTCACGCGGTCAACACTTGATTTAAAGCCAAAATACCTTAAAACAAATACCTTTAAAGATTGAATTGACTACTTCACAAACTCGCAAATTCGTTTAGTAATTTATTTAGCACTTACTTAGTTATATTTAGTTTGTATTACACATTTAAAACTAATTTAAATGTACTTAATTCTATTGCTATATATATTTATTCGATATCTCGCATATATATTGCTTAAAGTAAACCACTTTCGTGTGTTTTGAAATAATCGAATTTTTCAATTTAACTCAACTAACAATCGATTTCGTTAAATCTAGAGAAAAAAGAACGTAGTAATAAAACCCAAAAACGTAATATAATATGTACAAACTTTATATATATCCTATATTATTATTATTATTCTCAAATATATTCTTACTACATACATATACAGACATACAAGAATATGTCATATATGAATAGTTTATATAATCTAAATGATRACTAGGTAGCACTTTTTATTTAATTTAATTTTTATTTTTTTTATTTGAATTAAGCCTCGGCAACTATGGCCATTGGCAACACTTATTATTATATATGTTTTTTTAAGAAACAACTATATTTTTAGATCATACATATAAATATTGATCTATAAAATGCACTTATTATTGTACAAAAAAATGCCTATTTCATTAACTAGACATCATTAAATGCTGCTCAATCATCTATAATATTTATGAATTTATAATACTGATTTCTTCATTAACCATCTCATTATAATATAATAACAGCAAATAATAATAATAATAATAATAATAATATAAATATTATATTTACCTATACCATATTGCCATATTGGTTATAAATACTTGTTTATTTATAATCTATGATCGTATTATCGTCGTATCCTATGTATGGCTGACGGCTGTATGCAAGACTCACCTATATGTATATTATTATGTTAGACTGTTWTTGAAAYTGCAGGTTTTATCAGCGGTCGCCGTACGGTTACCGATTGCAAGTTGTGGTTAATCCTGCAATTGTAGCTCACAAAGATTAGAATACCAAGAAATTATGAATTTTAATAATGTATATGCTAGCTATATGATAAGATAAAATATAACGAAACACGAAAAAATCAGTAACTTAATATTTTGTCGGTTACGGAAAATAACAACACAGTGTGTGTAGGTATAGCCATTAAGTATACTAGGTATAACCACTAAAATATATAGTAGAATTCTGAATTACATATAACTGGGGTAATCAAWATATTTTTTGGTTTTTTATTATAGGTTTGTTATTAACGTAACATAAGTAGTTGATATAAAATTAATTTTATTCAGTTTATTTATTAAGTAAATAGTTATTGCATTTTAGAAACATAATGCGTTTTATAAATGTTCGTCAGTGATATCGGTTCGTAATATATTAAAATAAAAAGTAATCAACACGATTGATTTTTTTATTTGAAAACAACAACAAACATTAAATAATAAGGTATTCAATAAAAAAAAGTATTGAAAATACTTCACGTTGAAAGTATTAAAAAAATTATTTGAATACTTCTACTCAAATATGTTTACTCAAATGATTAATACTTCACAATAGTGGGTGTATCTACATCGAGTACAGAATAAATAAATGGTTTAATTTATGGTGTAATTTTGTACGTGCGTCATATTATCTGGCTAATTTCTGTCTAATAAAAACCATAACATTATATTTTAAACATAAATATAGTATCTGACAGAAATAAGGGAAACCTATATTTTTTTTTTGAGAGAGAGGTACATGCGTTCGCCATGGCACGTGGACACAAATGCGTGATGCTAACCCATTCAAAAAATGGTTATCGATGATACATCGTTCATGAATTAGAGTGGGCAACACTTCATAAGGTGTGCGCAAAAAAAAAAGCTCCTACTCTAAAACCTGCCTCACTGTGAAAATAAAGTTGTAAGTCACTTGGAAATTACCCGTCAGAGACGCGATAAATTATTATTTATTATAAATATTTATACATGATAGATATTGTGCTTGAGATTCATGATTATGGGTCACGTTTTTAAAGAAAGGGTACAATATCAATTAAATTTCGTATATACTTGTTGCTGATTTATTTTTACTATTTTATTTAAATAACATTAAACGTGTTTATTGATTAATACATTTTTGTATTTAATATTTTTATTGGACGACTATTATATTACTATACTGAATTAATTTATACGGGTTTTGATAAATAATAAATACATTTTTTATGGCAAACTATTACATAATTTACCATTTTTGGGTTAGGGGTTAGGTTAATAAAAACAACAAATTCGTAAGTATGTTACTTRTATATTTKGTAWGAGGCCCCTCTTATGGAAWTGCTGACTTTATTTGAACCCTTAAATCCACTACTGGATTTACTATAACAAAGGTACATTATTAATAAAACTACTTATTTTAACAATACATTCAAATTTAGCATAATACTAATGTAACATTTGTAATTTGTATGCATTAAGTTTCCACAATCCATACTATAGCCCGCCGCACCCAAAGGCAAAAGTGAATAGATACCTAGTAGATACCACATTTCAAATATTTTATAATCAATTTAATTTACATGAATCGTCATATTTTTTGTGGTATTTCCATTTTAAAACCAAAATAATGACTGCAAGTTTTAAGGTTTTTTCCATGTACAATTTGATTGTTGTTACGCTGCCCATGGCTGTTCCCCTCAACGGAAAATATCGATAGTATTATATGGCGTCGTGTACAATAAATTGCGTATACGTTTATTTAAGGGGTTTACTATATTATATTATTCTTGAAATTGTTACATTAATAATTATTAATCAGATACAGTTACTTGATTRTTATGTGTAAAAATKACTTTTTTCTAACTTATTTGATAAAAGTCAAACGATGTGTCAAAACATTTATGTATGGTTATATAATATTATAAAATAGTAAATAGGTTAAATATTTTATACATTTAAATTTTACACTTCAGAAATTATTATTTTTTTTATTGTTCTTTATTAATATCGGAAACAACATTTTTTCCCCCATTTGATTATTTAATTAGTGTGGAGATAACGGCGTCGGATYCGAGTTAAATGAATAATATTCATTGACTCGACATAATATTGCGTCGAGTATTCAAGTATAATTAAAATTTAATATCTGATATTTTTTTGTTGTTATTTAATTATTTATATAACGGAATTATTATTAAATTAATGAATAATAGATATTCGTGAAAATTGTACACGTTTAGTATCTCGCATAATTTTTAATCTTACACACTACATTGGTAGTTGGAATGTTAATGAAATATAAAAACTAAAGAGTCGCGTTTATTTATAAAAATCATTAAACTTTATACTCAAATGCGAATTGGTTATCATTTGTTATCTTCTGAACAGGTTTTTGTTGATTTTATTGTTTTATTTTTATCATTATACTAACTTTTATCGTATCGGTGATAAATTTTAGAAAATCCAACAGCTTTCGGTTATTTGATTCTAAATTAGTTTTCCGTTGGCAGTCAACGACGAAGATCAAGCTTAWTTTTTGTGTAATGAGCATAGAAATGATTGTTTTTTATTGATTCCCACTAACATTTTTTGTTCCTTTAAGTTTAGTGTTTATTGATAAATTTAAATAATTTTCAAATATCCATGGCAACGTTTAAAGAGTTAACAGCGGAGTGGGCTAGCATTACTAATAATGGAAACTCACACTGTAGCTTTGCAGGTTAGAATTTAATTAATATTTTATTGTACTTATAGCAAATTATTTTAGTTAATTATTATTTGAACTGTTATTATAGTATGTGTATTGTGTATGTATGAATTCAGAAATACCTATAAAAATTGATATAAATCTTTTTACAACAGTTTTATATTTCAATAATAATATGGTAGCCATAGAATTACCTATATAGTAATATTATTATTATTATTAATACCTATACGTTTACAGCTTAAACTGATCAAGTTTTAGAATTTAACGTTTTATGATTTTAACCCTTTAATTTATACAACACAAAATTTTAGTAAAAACAAACAATCTSACTTTATTTTATGTACCTACGTATAWCTGATATTTAAATATGTAATTTGTTAAATGACCCTATATATATATATACTTGGTTGGTTTACATTATGTCTACGTTCCTACTACACTAAATAAATTATTAAGGTATTAAAAATAAAATAAAATTTTTAAATAGGTTTCTAAAATGGTAGTTATAGTTTTAATTTAAAATAATCTTTCTTTCTCCAAAATTGCATTATGAAATTAAATTCAACTTTGATGTTTTTATACTTTTAAATTTTTTTCAGTAGTAACAAAATAAATAACATAACTTAAGAGAATAGTATCAGTGGATAGTACGTGATTTTCTAAAAACTGCATTGATAAAATTCATTTTAAAATCAAATCGAAATTTCTAATTTGATGAAATTATATTTTTTTTATTGTTAAATACTAAAATATGTTTAACTTATATCATAATTCATAACTAAAAGTATAACATTTTTTGTTTTTAGAAAGTTGAATTTATACGTAATTTTAATTACAACTATTAAACTAGTAGTTATAGCATATAGCATTACAAGCTGTGCCGCGATAAATTAAATAGACACTTAGGGATATTTATTGTCCCAGTTTAGTATAAAATAGCATTTTTTATTTATTTTATTTTTTTTTTTTATGAAAAATATAACAAGTAAAATTGCAACTTGAATATTATCAGGGTTAATACTTATTAGAGGCATGGTAATATATTATTATGTTTACCACAATATCCTTCATTTTCTTCGCTGGTTTTCTCGTTTTAAAATCTACTTATCTCCTTAATCTCTATACAATTTTGTTATTATTGTATTTTTATGATACTGTGTATATATATTATTATTTATTTATTAAACACAAATAATAATGTACGTTACATCATAATATTAATCAAAATAAATTATTCTTGTATATTTTGATTTAGTCCGTTTTAAAAGTTGAAAATACAAATAACGATGGCTTAATACAAATTAAATTATAATTTAAATTACAATTATTATGTATTATATAGGTATAAAAACAATAATATTCTTAATAATACTGATTAATTGTTACAGAAAACAATAGTATAAGTTGATCAGTTATACATAAACAATATATATTAATATTATTGTAAATAGTATTTCAAATACTGGGTATTTATACATGGTAAATAATTTTTTAAGGGTTGATGTGTTAGTACAATACTTATAAAATCATTAATATGTATTATAATTCATAATTTCATACTTGCGGTCAAATTAAATATCTACTTTAATTAATTCACAACATTGTTTCGGCTTATTCAAATAGCAAATTGTGTGCATAGTAATTATTTTACTGAGAAAATATTATTTTTTGACTTCTCTATTTTATCAAATGGTTAATATAATTATACTTCTTTTTTCTCAAATGTATTAAATAAAAATATTTATCCAAAAAATGTGAAAAGATAAAATAATTTCAATACTTAAGTTATTTTAAAAGTGTGGTGTATACTGCATTCAGTTTCTACTTACATTTTGGCGTTTAAAAAGTTTATTTATACTTAGTGATTTAATTTTTATTATTAGACTATAGTATATTTTATTATAGTCTAACATCATACCTTCATTTCAAGTTATTAAAAGTTAAATCAAGAATTTAGCACACCTACCTAATGTCAACAAAAAAAAGTATTAAATTTAGAGTTAAAATTATCTTCAATGATTGCCAATAGATTATTTAGTGTTTAAAGACTTTTAAACACAAAACTAGTTTTAAGTTTGGAATTCTTATTGAAAAACAAAGGTATATTCATGTTAACATTT